AGGCAGCCAAGAATAGTTATGTATATGAAAAATGATAATAAATAATCAACACACACATATAGTCAGTTATATACCTGTCTCTTATACACATCTAGATGTGTATAAGAGACAGCTATATACTTGTATATATATGTAAACTGTATATGTATACTCTTAACTCATATCTCTTCTACTCCAAGAACCTTTGTAAAGAGGACGCTCCTGCGTACCAACCCAATAGCCTACCTTATCGTCACCTAAAATGCAAAACAACGTTTCATCAAAAAAATCCAAATTTTTTATCGCTTGCGATTCACTATATCATATTACATATAATATATGTAGCATAAATGCTATCAGATATAACCAATATATAACCAATGCATAAGCAACATTTAACCAATGTATAACCAATATATAACCATTGTATAACCGAAATTGAAATTGTGTTTCAATATGAGTGGTGATGAGAAAAAAACGTTAAATTTCTTCGTCTGTAAACCTATGACAAGTGATGTTACGYTATTTTGCATTTTTGGTGACGATATACATATGTATACACCCACATATAAAGAAAGCGTTATGAGATCGTTTGGCGTTGCAGCTTATCTACACTACACACCCATATACCTAACCACAAGCCATATATATCATACCTACAATTATACTCATATGGTTTGGATTATATAAATACACACATGCATATCTTCGTTGAAATGTGAGTAATGCTACTTGACTCCGGAAGACTGTGCAAATTGTAATAAAGTTAGCCATAATATCAAATAGCTAAATATGGTAATAATGAACCCATTAGTTAGGTATTAGGCATACAAATATGTATAATGTATGTATATGTATGTTATGTACAAATTTGTAGGACTCCAGTGTGGCACAGTACTGTACAGTTGTATGCGAACATATGTACCCAAGTGTGTGATCGAATTGCACTCCAACCGTCTCTTTAGTTGAGAATGATATTGCTTTCGATTTGTGTTTCTGTTTCGATCATTTCTTTTACTCATTTCAGTTTCGTTTTATTCCACTCTTGTTTTGACACAACACACAGCATCAACTTATTTATATACATTCATACATATGTATTTTTTGTACGAAACGTATGCATTTGTCTTATACTTTTACACTCTTGGYCTCTTCTTTGTACATATTAAATTATATATATATGTATGTAAACTTTTTTCGCTTTGATTTACATTTRTTTATTTACACTCTATTTGAAAAGTAAAATATTGCTTACAAACTACACCAAACTGCAGCTTTATGCAGGATATAAGCGAGCTGTTCCAAGTAGCTTAGCCAAGTATAGCTACTCCCAACGATATTCTAAAAACTCCCCCATATATAACACAAATTACTTAGATTTTACAAAATCGTTAGACCAAAAAGCTGGCTTCGATACGCCAAACGTTAGAAACTAACGAATCGATCAAACTATGCCAGATGCTCAAACGAATGACTAGCGCTTGTGGTGCAACCCTGTGCTTTTATGTTCTCTGACACAAACGCAACTTTCATTGATAGCGAAGTTTTTCTTTTCGCAATAAAACACATTTTAGTAATTTGATTTCCACGCTGACTTCTTAAGGCGTTACATGGGTTTCCTCRGGTAAAATTGCCTTTTACCCACAACCTTTTTGAATATAAAGAATTAAATATTTTATGAAAAAAAAATATCCTTCCCCCAAGTCCTTAAGAATTGTATCTCAAAGACCTGTGAAAAATTTCATGAAGATTGGTTGAGTAGTTGACGAGAAATCTTGCCACCCGACTTCAAAAACACAGTTTCCAGAAAAATGCGTTTAGAGGCGGCGCACTTAGCCTAGCTATCCTCGACCGCACAAGATCTCCGAAACTATTCCTCGGTTCAAATCGAAATTGAGAACAATATTGTAGAGGTGTTGTAGAATTTAATACAATAATAAAAAAACTTGGAAACCCATAAACCCATGTAACCCTTTAAAACGACTATAATTTAGCTTTAACTTTTGAAAACCAATAAAAAATTGTACATATTTCCCTTAACTTTTGAAAACCAATAAAAAATTGTACATATTTCCCTGTTTGAGAGGAATCGGTCATATAAACCTCCACAATGGAGAAACTGATCTAAAATGTGCAAAAAAAAAACTTGATTGAAGATATCGGTGTTAACGCTTTAATGAGCTATTTGAATACTCTCTTATACGAATTCAACTCGATGATTTTGCTGCTTAGCGCAAAGACAAAGAGAGGAGAAAAGGCGAATCGAAGACAGCTAATATACATATATACAATTTTAAGTGAACTAAAAACTATTACGCTTAGTTGCAATCAAATACAGTAATCTTTGTAGGCTAGCCTATAAGTAAAAAAGCCGTAAGACGGAAACTAATAATATATATATAACTAATAATAGGCTCATATATTATATGTTCTTTTGTGGCTTATGGGATCATAGCATATTATGAACCTTCAGTTCCAAAAATAGCCAAGTTATTCTTATTCTTATGTTCTTGTCCTCTGGAAGTTAAGATATCAGTGCTTCGATAGTAATGACATATAGTTAGTCTTTCATCAACTTTAAGCGACATTTTCTGATTTCGAAACCCCAAGCAAATGATACCAGTTCAAGTATGTCGAATACCTTTCTAAGTGGAAGTCTTATTCTCAGTGGGCAAACAGAAGTAAGACTTTGTAATTTAAATTTCGCGCTACAGCCCATTAGAGTTTTGAATCGATGAGTCTTGAATCTATGCTTACAGCCCGGAAATAGAGGCCCCGAAACAGACGATCAGTCGACTGAATATCATGGTATAGGTGAGTTGAAGCCGAAAAAACCAAGCCATAGTCAAAAACCAAAGTTATGGTGATAACTCTCACTCCAAATTCTTTTCGACCGACCAAACTGGCAGCAAGGAATAATATTTGAGTGTTACGCGTCGTTTGTGCGAAGCTATTCGAAAAAAGAGGCCGGAATTATGGGCCAAGAACTCTTGATTTGCACTAGAATAATTATTCGTCGCATACTGCATAGAATCTTGGTGACTTTTCGCCAAATTTTCAATCAATATCATAGTGCTACCACCGCATTCGCTTGATTGAGCTCCGTGTGACTTCTGGCTATTCTAAAAATTCAAACGACAACTTTGACAAAACCGTTTTGACTAAATTGAAGACATTAAACGTGAATCGTTATAAGCATTGAGGCGATTCCGGAAATTGACTTTATTAACTGTTTCGGGGATTGGAAAAGGCGGATCACTTTAAGAGGGACGAAATAGTTTTTCGATAATAAATAAAGATTTTAAAATTATGAACAAAGTCTTACTATTTTTTTGCTCAGTGTACATGGCTTTACCTAAGCGTTAATCATGCTTCAGTTGTTCCTTGATTTCGAAAGTTCAAAAAGTAATAGTCGACGCCGCTAATAGGCAAAAATTATTGATAAACCCTTATGCATTGAAAGAAACATTCTCCATATACTTTTAATAAAACCTTTAATTCTCTACTGATCACAGCGCTTGATATCGAAAACTAGTTGTAAAACAGCTGCCTAGTTCTATAAAAAAATGCTGTTGATCAGTTCCTCTTGGAGCGGTTCACTCACTGACACTACGTTCGATGGAATCTCAGACCGAAGTCTCCATGTTAATCACTTACCCTACCAACACCGTCAGGCAAACATATCGTCAAATATCACATGTACTCGTATTTCCCCGACTCGTTTAAAGCATTTCACCAATTTAGTTAGCGTGCATTTCCCTTTCACCGAAAACATTTATTTTTCACCACAAAATCGATTACATGCATTCACTATCAAAAGCTCATTTTAGAAGATTTGTGGCAATTGCAAAAGCCCCGAAATCACAAACGCACCACAGGAGCACAATTTGTACAGACCATAATTATTAAGTGAATACACACAAAGGCTTAATTATGTGCATAAATCTACTGCCAACTCCATGCCTCAAATTCAATTCAAAATGGAGGCACATACACACGTACACCCACACAGAGACATTCGGATGACGCAGGCACATGTATTAAGCAGCGGGTGTCCTTGTCATCGATAGCAAGTGACGCTACAGTGTGGCAACACTGTACGCATTCGCAGCAAATGAATAAATACACGGTCGCATATGTATGTATCATAGGATATAGCGTATATTTAACTGTACGTATTCACTTATGCAGTTATGTATGTATGTATGTATGTATGTATGTATTCGGTGTTGTGTCCTGTCATTGCTTTCGCATTTCGCACCACAAATTCACGTCATTCTTCGCGAAAATTAAGAAAATGCAAACAAATTCGCATTGCTTTTTTCCACACATGCAAGCGAGCGTTAAGGCGGCACAAATATCACAACCACCAACACACACACACGCGCGCAAGTGCAAGTATGCTTAAATGTGCGCTTGTGTGTGTGCATTAGTAAAGGTGTAAAGCGAAATGCAGTCGCAAATTAAAGTGAAAATGAAAATGCGCAAGCAACTCACTAAAATGCAACAAATGTATGTGGAATACATACATACACACTCASCTAGTTTAGGTTAGGTTATGCTTAGTACATAGGTTATCTTTATATGCACAAGTAGTGCCGCTATGTATGTCTGTATGTAGCTGACTTTGTGACTTTGTGTCAGGGAAAGCCACCACCAACAACACTTGCTTATTTCTTTGTATGTATGTATGTACTTGCATAACGTAAAAGCTCACTTTGAATTCCCAAACGAGAAACGTGTTGCAAATTCACAAAAATCACATTTAACTTAGAGTAGTGGAAGAGCGGAGGCAACACAAAGCGAGTTAATTTTAGCAAATTCCGCTTTGATTGCGAAAATCAAGCATACAAACAAACAAGCTAACAAACAAACAAATTGACATAGCCTATGCAATCACAAATAAGAAATATAAGAAATTAGAGTTTAGAGAAAACAAAGCTAAGCAAATCTAAGCAAAGCAAAGCACAAACAAAGCTAGAAACAAACAACCAAACAAAACCCACCACTGCACTTTGTAGGTACTGACAAAGGACAGTGTCACCGTGTCGGTGGATGCAGTGGTTTACTATCGCGTTTCCAATGCGACAGTTTCTATAGCGAACGTGGAGAACGCTCACCATTCGACCAGACTTTTGGCGCAGACTACTCTACGAAACACAATGGGAACTCGGCATTTGCATGAGATACTCAGCGAGCGAATGACAATTTCCGGCACAATGCAGGTGAGTCACACCTAATGTTCAACCCTTTTGTTTTTGGTTTTCGGTTTTTGCTTTGCAGCGTTCGCAAATCACCAGCACCAACATCATCGTCATCACCAACATCAAAGTTTCAGTTTCAGTGGTTTAGTGTCAGCATCACTGGCGCTCAACTCTCACCCGATCAAACACACACACACCCACTTCTGCCATTCGTTACATTGCTGCTGCATGTGTTGGCAGCTTGGCGCTGGTGCATGCCGCACATGTGCCTCCACCTTTATGAAGTCAACCAGTCGGCGAGGGAAGCGCAACAGCGGCAGAGGCTAATGGAGCGTAAACGTGATGTGTGGCACGCCAATGCAAATCATCGGAGGTTGCAAACTGCAGTCGCTTAGTTTATAGTTCTGTTGTTTTTACTTTGATTGTGTGTAGTGCGAATGTCAGACGAGGGTTTCGGGTGAGGGCGCGCAAATGGCAGCGCAAGCAAGGCAGCTGAAGAAGTAGTGCTACAGGAGGCTCAAATTTACATGTGTTTTTATGGGGCTGCCCTCTAGAGATTGCCACGACCATAAGCTGGTATATTTTTTGGTGGCTTGAACTTTATTTATGCTTAAAACCTCATTCCACGAATACGGATAGAAACATAATTTCTTGTATGATTTTGAAAGTCGTGGTGTTTACAGGTCTGTAAAATACCTTTAGCAGTACAGGAGGTCACAGTCTTTAACATAATTGAAACGCTGGTTCTTTCCAGTGCTCTAAAGAACACTGTCAAGCCATGCTGTAAGCGTCAGTTGCATTTACCAAAAACGTTAGTAGAACAGATGTTCCTTCCTTCCTAAAAAGGCAAAGTATACGTTCTTTAAGCTCTGAAATATAAGCTGATCTCTTAAACTRAGAGTTACATATACAAGTTGATTCTGCTAATGCACCCAATTTTAATGCAAGGTCACCTATTTTTGAAACACTTTACATTTTCCAAAAAACTCGGCATCGAAGTGGCAATATTAAGCAAAATGCTCTGAGTTACTGGATTCCCTCGCATTTCTTGAAACCAAAGACTTTAAAGACTTCATGTCACTTTATGTTGAAACGGAATATTTTATCGCCACCTCAGTTTCTCCCCGCAGGGTGTGTGACTTCAAAACAATTCACTGTACAAATGAATTTCTTGGGGACAGATTTGGTACGGCTAAGGGTCGAGTATGCGCATGTGTTTGTACACATATTCATAAATAGAAGTATTTATTCGCTTGTCGTTACTGCAAGTTCTACGAATATAAAGTCTGAAGATTTCCTCAGGTGCAAAGTGTAATGCCTTTTAGTCATGTCGTCGTTTCGCACACTTGACACAATTTTTCCGCTGCCACTGTACTCGTGTGCACAGAGTAAAGGCAGCACAACAAGTACACACATGAAAAAAATAAAATTGAATATAGATTTGTGAAAGTGTTAGTGCGGTGTAATAAAATATGAGCCCAGCAAATTTAGGGAGAAGTCACAACTTTATGTACTCTTTTGAGGTTACAGAAACAGAACATGAAAATTTCAAATATTTATTAGACAAAGAGAAAGGCCTTTTGTGAATAATTTATTTGTTTGACATGTGCGTAAAAACTTCTCGATTTCTGAAAGCACAGAAGCTCACCATTTTCACTATAAGATAATGTTAAATGCATTTTGGGACTAACTTTAAAGTGGGGTTTGTTGTGAGATTGATGAGGTATACTATATGTATCTACTAAATCGTGATGCATTTTGAGATTCCTTACTTTTTTACTTTTTTAAAGAAAAAACACAGGGACTTCAAATGTAATGAAGAACGGGTATATCATTCGAAAGAACATTRTTTGGCATTTATTTTTTGAATATTATCTGTTTCAAATTTAGCCGCGGCTACGTCTCAGATGGTTCATCCAGTAAAATTTTCGATGACTCGTTCGAGCATTTCGACTGGTAACTGCCGAATGACACGCGTGATGTTTTGGTTCAAGGACTGAATCGAAGMGGGATTGTCTGCATGGAGTTTAGACTTTACATATCCCCACAGGAATAAGTCTAACGGTCACACGAACTTGGTGGCCAATCGACCGACCCAAAACGCAAAATTATCTGCTCAACGAAGTGTTCTCTCAATCAAGCTATTGATTGATGCGATGTGTGAGAAGTGGCGCGGTCTGGTTGAAACCAAATGTCGCCGAGATCACGAACTTCAATTTTAGGCAACAAATAATCGATTTTCATGGCGCTATAATGGTCGCCATTGAGGGTTACGTTTTCACTGGCAACATTTTCCAAGAAATATGGACCGATGATTCTACCAACCCATAAACCACAATAAACCATTGTTTTTTTTTTTTTTTTGTTTTGTTTTTTGGATGAAATACCGATTGAACAGAACGAAAACTTGAGATCTTCTTGGAACTTTTCAAGAGCATACAGAGCGAAGCGATGTTACTTGGGATGGTCGAGCGGCTTCAGCTAGTTCAAGTTGTAAAACGTTTTCAATTGAAGACCTGAACGTAAAACGCGCTAAGTCATTCCATACRCCAGTCCGAGTTTCTGCGAATGGCTCGGAATCGACTCTCCATGCCCTCGCTCTCAACTACAGCTGCTACATTTTCTTCATTGCGTACTGGACGGGGTCTTTTCGGTCGAAAGGTGAGAAAAATCTCACCTAACTACTTAACAAATGTCAGAAACATATCGACAAAAGTTCAGCATTTGACATTTAATTTAACTTGCATCACGCTGAACGACACCCGACCTAACGGCATTGACAGCCGATGACTGTTGTCACCTGTCAGCGCTGCCAGAGCAAGTGATGCAAGTAACCAACCAACGCAAGTTGATTTGACACATACATTCACAGCAATAAGAAAATTACGAAGAACAAGAACGTAAGCAGTGTTKCATTCGCATGCCGTTCGGAAGTGTGTGTGTTGCTGCAACATTTTTTCCTCAGGTCGTTATCGTTGTTTATATTTACTTGATGCGCTCATGCAAATAAGCAGAGAGATGACATCTCACTTGCCATTGATGAGTGCGCATAAACAAGCGCCACCTCCCCGCATCTACTACACACATACACTCACACATGCATGCGGTTGTAAGCAAGTCCGTCCGCCGGGTCAGCTATCGACACACCCTTCAGTGCTCAATCGTCAAGCCATTTGAAGCAATGAAGCATGCACAAGCAATGCATGCAAATAGATCAGCACACATACACACAYACACACTGGCACAWGCGTGCTGGTGCTGGTGAARAGATATTGCWATTTTTATGCACGACCAAAATCACGGAWGCCGAGTTCAGTGCTTTGCATGCGAAGGCAGAAAGAAAGTCGCAATCGCAATCGCAAACGCAAATCACATTAACATTAACAAATGCTGGCAAACAGAGAGCAGAGCAAACTGTGCAAGCGACGCACACAAATCGAAAAGTTTGCAAAATATTGCAAAGCACAACACTCACACATACATACACATGGCATCATTCATCGCTGCTTGCGCTTTTGCAAGGGCAATATATTTGGAGAATGGACGAGAGCGAACATAAAATAAATAAACACTTTGTTACGGACGACATTTGCATTTGCAATGCGAGACCCTTCTATGGGAATACAGTTACAGTTAGTTTAAATATAAATAAATGCATGCGCTTGCTTGCTGGCTGCATAAGAATTCGAGGTGCGTAAGTTAGATTCGAACTGATTTATTTTGGTGTACTACCAGTCGGCGGATAAGTTTAACGGAAATAAGTGACTTTGCGAACAACAACAGAACGTACATATGTAGTGGAGAACTGTAATCTGAACCTTCCACCGGTGAGGCGAGCCGGTTTTCGAATGCAGTCAATATGCAAAATGATGTTAAGGCAGGGAAAAATGACAAAAAAAATAAAAAAATAGTAAAAATCAAAAACTGACAAAATTGTGGCATTTATAAAATTTGAATTTTACGCCAAAAATCGCTTCGATTCAGGCCTTAGAGCAAAACATCATGCATGTCAGTCACCAGTTGCCAGTCGTGGCCAACATTTGACAGAGATAGTCTTCAAAATATAAATTCTAAAGACTGAAAAAGATGATATGATAATAAATATTCCCATTAAATTTGAAGTTTCGGTGTTTAAATAAGTAGGGAACCTCGAAATAGATCGCCATTATATACCGAAGAGGCAAATTTCATTCGTCTTCCGATCATTCRTCTTCGATTTATCACTTCAGCAAATGTGAAAAATGTTCTTTCGAGAAAAACGCATGTTATTTTTAAAGATATRAGCTATTGAAATATGAAAAAATCGTATTTTCAAATTTTCAGACCAGTTGTGTTCTTTAATATCGACAATTATCACAACTACCAGCAGCAGAGTTGATTGTCTGTATTTTTACTGGCGGGTGTTTGTCTGAACCCAAGGGGTTTCCATTACATATGAGCATGCAATGCACAAATATATAGTATATACCATATATGTATGCATGTGATATATTTAAAGCTTAAAAAATGCATTGAGGTCATTTGATTAAATTGATTCTTAAACATCGTACAAACTGWTAAAGCGTTGATTTGAATAACGGAAAATAAGAGTTGTTTCACTTTAAATGGACATTCCATTTTTACTGTTTATTTAAAGGTTTCTGTTTCCATTAAAGCAGTCAAGAAGCAATTTAAACAAAAAGCCTTTTGAACGAAATTTTGATAATTTAATGCCAAATCTTCAAAAGAATATAATAGGTTTATTTGTTAACTTTTAATGGGAAAATAATGGCCTTTATATATATATATTTATATAAGGCGTTAGGTATGATATGATTTCTAAGTGCCGTTTCGTCCATTTTATTTCTTCATTATCTCTAATATTTTCATTGTAATCAATAATGTTTTCAGTTTCATCATGGAAGTATTTAAGTAAGAACAACGTTTACAAATTATTAAATTTTATTACCAAAATTGTCGTTCTAAAATCGCAATTTTTCGTGCGCCTTTGCCATTTTATGGTCGTAATAATCGTCCACTTGTGTTGGCAATTTCGAGCGCACATTTTCTTTACTTATTGTTTAAGTGCCAAAAAGATAAAGAACGGCTCGAAGAAATAAAAATAGCAAGTGTTGCTGTAGACTGTAATTTGTCGCTTTCAAGACGTTCTCAAGAACTGGAACTGTCCAAAGCGCAACCTGTCGGTTTTTAGGAAAGGATTTAGGCTTTCATCCATATAAAACTGTTCTCACTCAAGAACTGCAGCCATTGGACTACCGTTAACGTCGTGAGTTTGCTGATTTTGTCTTGGAACAACTTGAAAACGAAGACGTTGCTTTGTGCCACACAGCACGTGCAACAACCGAATTATTGCGAGAACAGTTTGGAGATTGGATTATTTCAACAAATTGTGGCATTGAAAGGCCTGCAAGAAGATGTGATTTAACACCATTAGACTACTTCTTGTGGGCTTATTTGAAGTCTTTGGTCTTTAGCAATAAACCAAACACTCTTCAAGCTTTTGAAGTCAATATCTATTCATGCCTTACGACTTGATTTAGTGGAAGAATTATTCAGAAATTAGGTTCATCGAACTCGTTTCTGTTCTGAATTAATCAATTTATATATTGCTCTGCTACTTAAACAAGAGCTACTGTAATAATTTCTTTTTTAAACAACAACTTCAGTGAAGCTTTCTTTTGACATTACATTATTTAAAATTCTGAATACTTGGGAATTTTTCAAAACATTTAATATAAATCCGATTTTTTTTGCTTTTATTTTTTTGAAAAAAACAGAACCTACATGTAACTGGTTGCTTACCTGAAAAGTACGAAATTTCCGTTTTAATGGCATTGCATTCCAGAAGATTCAAATACTTGAGATTTTTTCATGGAATTTTTTCAAACCCCCGAGTTCTTTTTTAAGTATCAAAAAAAAAAAACACTGTTAAAATAAAAACTAAATAAGAGGTTGCATGCCACAGTTGCCACATACTTGTACAATGGCAACAAATGGCGAGTGTCCTTATTTTCATGACATGTTTTGCCCATAAAAATGGCAAAAGTAAACTGGGCATAACAATCGAGTCTAGTTTTGGAAAAAAAAAAACAACGAAAACAACAATAATACACCAGCAATAAAAAATACCCAAACCAGCTGCCTTGCTCTCTGCTACAACAATAAAGAAAATCTAAACCAAATGTTATCCTTGAAAATGACATCTGCGGCAAACACACGCGCAACAACAAGAGCCCTTCTATTGGATTTTTTTCGGTAAGCTAGTGTTGAATGTGGGTAGCAATGTAAAATCTGCGCTCATCTTTCAGGCTCATAAAAATGTTGAATTTGTACAGTTTTATGACTATATCTGAGCAAAAGGAGTTGTMAAAAGGAAATCTGAAACTAATATTGTGCCATTTCTATTTGTATTTGTCTCGTTTGCATGTCGATGGCCTAACGATGCGCGGGGGATATCAATCCGCTCAATAACAACCAACAATGGCGCTGGCAAATAAACAAATAATCGCTTTGTTATCAAACACTTTCGCCCGACTGTCGATTTGCCACGCAATTATGGACGGAAACTTTTGCTGGGCGTCGCAGGTCCAACTAGACGAAGCCACCGATGCTTGGGGCATTAAAGTCGAGCGTGTTGAAATGTAAGTAACTGTGGATTATTGGATGATAAGTTCTTGTTTGTGGTTAGGAGAGTGAGTGCGTAAAAGTTACAGGGAAAATAAAGTTAAAATAAAACAAGTAAGGAAGGRCTAAGTTCGGGTGTCACCGAACAATTTATACTCTCGCATGATAAAGTGATAATCTAGATTTCAGGCGCGGTTGTGAATCGATTTCACCCATATTTGGTACATGTCATCAGGGTTAAGAAAATATTATATACCGAATTTCATTGAAATCGGTCGAGTACTTCCTGAGATATGGTTTTTGGTCCATAAGTGGGCGACGCACGCCCATTTTAAATTTTTATAAAAAGCCTAAAAGCCTTTTTGTTAGTCGGTTAACGCACTTTTAGTGATTTTCAACC